TCTAGTTTGAATGTGGTTTCTGTAGGAGGAAAAACATTCTTAACGTTTTTCAATGCTGCAAAAACTTGTATAAGTAATATTCAATTTTAGCATTTCTGTCAACGTAGTGCGTCATATCTTGTGACGTGGCCCGCGCTAGGCGGCCGCTGCTTTAAACAAACAGGCGTGTGAGCACGGATCCCAAAGATAAAGAAAGGAAGAGTCGATGATAAGACTGGAGTAAAAATGAGAATGAACATTTGCTTTCAGTCAATGAGGAAGGACTGCTTCATGTTTGTAATGAAAAGTTTTGTTGCAACACGAGGAACAATGAAGCTTTAAACACTGTTCACTGAAACATTCATTCATCATAAAGTCAGAGCACCTATTTTCAGACTTTAAAAACCTTTGCAAAGACGGTGAAAGAAAAGGCCATTAAGGACATTCAGCTCCAGCAAACTTCAGCCTGTGATGGATATGAACAGACAGTGATGCAGGTGAACTCGGAGCCAAAAAGCAGATTTATTTACTGTATTTGTACAATTGCATGAATGTTAAACTTAAAGCAGAGTTGTCATGTGGTGCGTCATTCTCTCCAGGACACGCTGCAATGAAAATACACATTTGATAATCATGAATGGTTTTTATGTGTTTGCAACCTTTACTTTGTCATTTAGATATTAGGCTAATATAGCTAATATAGATAATGTATACAGCTAATGTAGCTAATGCAGCTTCAGCGCCTGTTACCTTCATATAAGCCTTATACAACGCTGTTTTTTTTTTTTTTGCGGCTCCAGACAGATGTTTTTTGTAGTTTTTTTTGTCAAATATGGCTCCTTGAACCTTTTGAGTTGCCTGGGCCGCTAAGAAGGAAAAAATGCCCGGGCCGTTTTTTTGTCCCAGTCCAGCCCTGCTCAGACCTGTCTCTCAGACCTGTCTCTCAGACCTGTCTCTCAGACCTGTCTCTCTCAGACCTGTCTCTCTCAGACCTGTCTCTTTCAGACCTGTCTCTCAGACTTGTCTCTCTCAGACCTGTCTCTCTCAGACCTGTCTCTCTCAGACCTGTCTCTCTCAGACCTGTCTCTCTCAGACCTGTCTCTTTCAGACCTGTCTCTCAGACTTGTCTCTCTCAGACCTGTCTCTCTCAGACCTGTCTCTCTCAGACCTGTCTCTCTCAGACCTGTCTCTCAGACCTGTCTCTCAGACCTGTCTCTCTCAGACCTGTCTCTCAGAGCCTACAGAGACGTGCGGCCTTTTACTGCTGTTACCAACTTTAACATCTTTGAAAACCAGAAACACAGTGTTTTTGAGAGAATAACGAACAACATGTGTTTAACCAGAAGCAAACTAACTGTGCATCAGTGACGGGACGTCTGAGAAGCCACGACTCTGACATTTGCTTGATTTCCGCGCGTTCTGTTATTAAATATGTTAAAAGAGAGATGGAAAAAGTATAGAAATAAGCAAACCCGAGGCTCTACAGATAGTAAATAAACATCCTCTATCTTCTGATGTTTAAGTTTTCCTCTGTATGATTAAAAACATTGTTTGTTTTGTTATCCGTGTTGTGCGCAGCTGCTGGAAACATCGGTCTGACTCTGGAAAGTTTAGAGGGTTTTATGGTCTGTTTTTGTCTCTGTCTGTGTTGATTTGGACTTGAGTCTGTATTAAGTTATCTATCTTTAATGAAGAGTTAGAGTTAGGGTGAGACAGAGCATTCCCTGTTTATCACGGATTCTTAATTGTGCCTCAGATTTTCTTCTTTCTCTGATGTCAATTGTTGTTACGTTATTATTAAGAATAAATTTACCTTCAAAGAATCTCTGTAGCGCCTCTGTCTCATCTACCACGTCCATCCTAGCGGATCCCGCACAGAAACTCCATCAAGGTTCCTCTGTCCGTGTCCTCGGAAGAAGACTGAGGCGCGGGAGGACATCAGCGTCAGCGGCAGGAGAGACGCGTCTCCATCCACGGCCCGCGCTCAGACTCCTGCAGTCTATGGTCAGGACCTGTCCCTCACAAAACACTCGACCACGAAGACGCCAGAACACGAAACAGAGCCTGGTCCTGCTCCGTGCTCCTCAGCTCTGCGTGCGTCTCTCTCTACGTCTCTTTGCGTCTCTGTGCGTCTCTCTGCGCCTCTCTGTGCGTCTCTCTGCGCCTCTATGCGTTTCTCTGTGCGTCTCTCTGCATGCGCCTCTATGCGTCTCTCTGCGCCTCTCTGCACCTCTTTGCGTCTGTGCGGGTTGTACGCTCAGCAGAAGTGGCGCAGGTGAGGTGCGCGCAGACACTGGAGGCAGTGAGGACCCTCTGTGTGAGTTTGCGCTGATCTAAAGAAACATCCACAACTTTCCTATGAGGCTTTTAGCTTTATTTATAGACACACATCCAGAATAAACTCTACAGTCGCATTCAACATAATTCATGATAAATATTTACTTTTGTTTAATTGTGTTCCGCTCTAAATCACAGCAGTAGTTATTACGGAGGACTTTGCAAAACTGTCGATTCTCCAACACAGATCAGAGAATGAAAAAATGCTATGATTAAAAAAAACACAAAGTCACTGGTTCTACTTCTACAGCCGACTGAAGAAAACTTTACTACGTGCTCGAGATGTAGCCTCAGTTCAAAAAGAAAATCTTGAAATTAATTCATTAAAACAAGAGGGAATTGAAGTTTTGGACAAAGGGTTGAACGAGATTTCGGATTGTGGAATGATCTCAGTAATATTGCAACAAACCTTACAGAGGTACATTCACCGTCATAGGCATTTACAACATTTAAGTTAGTGATGACTCTTTGACTCACACGTGTAGATATAGGCCTGATGTAGTGACAGAAACATATATGAAGGACCCACGTTATTAGGCCTAATATAGTGACAGTAATGCATGAATCAATACTTTATTTCGAGCCATGGCAAACAAGAGCCAAGTACAAAACAACAACACAATAGAAAAAAACACAATACGTGATAATATACAATTATACAGTAAGTTTGGTTTTATTAACAAAAAGTCAGCTCGAAAAGGAGTGGGAAGAAGTTAAGACTTTTAAACTCCCAAACAAGGAAACAGGCCTAATATTCTGACAGAAACATAGAAATAGGCCTGATGTAGAGATAGAAAAATAGAAATAGGCCTGATATAGAGACAGAAAAATAAAAATAAGCCTGATATAGAGACAGAAAAATAGAAAGGGGCCTAATGTAGTGACAGAAATATATTTTGGCCTAACATCCTGACAGAAACATAGAAATGGAAGGACCCCTGGGTTTCTGGTCTTGAGCGTGAGTCTTGCTGCAGACCGTGGCCCGTGATCAATCTCTCCTTATCAGACCCTTCTGTAGCACACTCCCTCACAGTGTATGAATAACAATACTGCTGTGTCCCCCACATGTGAGGTGTTGTGGCCCTCACAGCTGGAGCCCCTCCCGGCCGGTGCAGAGGGGCCACACAAGGCCCTGTTCACGGCTCCACACTGCGCAGATTGTCCCCCAGAACAAGGCAGTGACACAGGCGCCGGACAATCCAACAGCTGCCCTTCCATATCTCTGCGCACCATTTCTACTATAAATGTACAGCTATAAGGACGAGCTGATGGAGTCTGCTGATAACTCGCATGCACAGTTTACACCGCCATGTCAAGGGAAGTTTATTTGAATAGCACAGTTCATTCACAAGGAAACTCAAAGTGCTGAACTAAACAACAGAAACAATCAAAGGCACAAAATTATGATGAATTCATTACAAAAAACAAAGATAAAATCCTTCAGCTGTTGCAGAAACAGAACTGTTTTTAACCTGGATTTGAACATTGTCAAAGAAGAAGCCTGTCTCACGTTTTCAGGAAGACTGTTCCAGATTTTAGCATAAATCTGAAACGCTGCCTCCTCATGTTTAGTCCTGACTCTGGGACCAGCAGGAGGCCAGTCCCTATTAAATCTATTTTGAGACATTGTGAGATATGAGCGCCAAGTTTTATCCAGTTAATTTATGAATAATAATAATAGTTATATTATTATTATTATTATTATTATTATTAATAATAATAATAATAATAATAATGATAATAATAATAATAATAATAATAGCAATAATAGTAAACATAATAATAATAAATAATCATTCATTTTCTCCAAACACAGTGGTGATAACTACTGTAGCCACAGCTGCCCTGGGGCATACTGGCAGAAGGGACAGGATCTGGCTTTAACAGGTTGTGCCACTAAACTTTTTACCGTCTTAAGACTTTTTTTTAAAGCCACCTATAGGGTGTGAAATATAACATTTTTAAGGTCAATTAATGAATTAATTAAACTTTTACAGAGTCACATATTTTCCTTCAGGACCACTCCCAAAGCAGTCAATTTGACGGGTTTTAGTTTTGAAAGAGAGATGACTTCATAACTTTGTGACTTTCTGTTTCTGTATGTACTTAATTTCATTATTTGGTCGAAATTCTCTTTTTTTTCGCCATATTTGGTCGCTTGGCAACCAAAATTTATGGCGGTTAAAGCCCCGTCAGAGCGCGTGCTAGTTACCATGGCAACACACTGTTTTAACCTGCGACGTTAGCATTTCTAGCATTTAGCAGTATTCTGTCAACACATAGTTTTTTCCTGTATTTCGAGTTACAGTCACCGATTTTTGCACTTATTGAAGGTAAATACCGTATAAATTACTTATTTTAATAATAGATGTAATAACTGTGCTGAATAAAAACAAATTAAAAAGGCTACAGTCCAAAATAATAAAAATAGGATGGGTTTAAAAATGTTTAACAATTTTACTATTACTTAGTATTACTTATATAGATGTATTTATTTTTCATTTTTAGAATATTTAGAAAAATTTTGAACGGAGGTTTTCTATTTTAAAATGTTAACTTGTTGTACCACTGGGCTGCAGCAGGCTCCCGCTGTGATGACGCCCAGGGAGAGGGTGTTCCACTATGGCGTCAGCAGATGGCGACATTTTTCTTCTTTTTGCGGCACATCAGCGAGAATATTCAAAATGGCGACACACGGAGGAGGTGAGTAATGCGTTGCTATGGAGCCGAGGCTACAATATAAAAATACAACCATTTATGCTGACTTTTCATAGATTTTTTTCTGTTTTATGCATTTGCTTCGACATGTATCAGGTCCGTTCTCTCTGAGGAGACCGCCGAGTGATGTATCCTTCTGGAACATTGTTCTAATAATGTTACAGTGTTGAGTTCTGCAGACCTTAACTTTAGACCCAGCTCTCTCTCGCCTGTTTCCAGCTCGTTCTGCGGCTGAACGCGGGTTACTTCGTCCTGTACTTCCTCTTCACTCTGGGCCTGATCATCAGAAAGAGTGAGATATGTTTCTGTGTTGATGTTCTCTTCTGTAGTGATATTTCTTACCAACGTGTGATTGCAATGTTATTATCCGTATATTTATTTTTGCATATCTGAGTTAATTTAGAGAAAAAAACATTTAAACTTATATCACAAATAATTGTCCAGGACTGAGGCTGTAACTCCAGGACTGAGGCTGTAGACCCACGACTGAGGCTGTAGACCCAGGACTGAGGCTGTAACTCCAGGACTGAGGCTGTAGACCCAGGACTGAGGCTGTAACTCCAGGACTGAGGCTGTAGACCCACGACTGAGGCTGTAGACCCAGGACTGAGGCTGTAACTCCAGGACTGAGGCTGTAGACCCAGGACTGAGGCTGTAACTCCAGGACTGAGGCTGTAGACCCAGGACTGAGGCTGTAACTCCAGGACTGAGGCTGTAGACCCAGGACTGAGGCTGCAGACCCTAGATATTATATATGCATCTTAATGGTGGCCCTCGACCTATAACTGTTGGCTGCAAAAGGGAGTGGGGCCTCATTCTCCATTGTTCCTTTTGCTTCTCTTTTTTAAAAGCATTAGTAGATAACGGTCTATTATCTTTCTGTTCAAACATGCGTTCAAATAAAAAGAATAAAAACAATGTGTGTTTGTGGTCAGGCCTGGAGCTGTCCTTCCCCACACACGCTCTCGCTCTGGACCTGGCTCTGCTCTTTCTGCTGGCGCTGCTACAGATTTCTCTTTACTTTTGTGGTAAGACCAAAACATGTTCTTATAATAAACATTAGTCACAGAAGTCATGTCTGTTGAAACAGTTGAATTACATCATATCAAGCAGATGAAGAAGGTTTTCTCTCTCAACCAACATCATTCCATTCACTTTTAAATCCATGTTTAAATGACCACTTATGAACCAAGTATTTGTTTGACCAATATAAAAACATATCCATTATGAATCAGTAATATACGTGACATCACATCCTTCTGTTTGCGCCAAAGTCTACAACATCCAATCCAATCCAATCCAGTTTATTTATAAAGCACTAATAAAAACAACATGGTTGACCAAAGTGCTGTACATACATACATACACAAATATACATTTAAAAAATACAAAACAGTGGCAAAAAAAAAACACTATAAAGTCTGTTATCAATTCTACAGCTGCCATTTTAACAAAAAGCTTCAGAGAGCTTCACTCTCAGCTCTAACCATGTGACTCACCAGATCCTCCTCTGTGAGCTTCATCTCTCCTTCCTGGTTCTAGTCCCGTCCTGCCATAGTCCTGTCCTGCCATGGTCCCATCCTGCGATAGTCCCGTCCTGCCATAGTCCCGTCCTGCCATAGTCCCGTCCTGCCATAGTCCCGTCCTGCCATAGTCCCGTCCTGCTATAGTCCCGTCCTGCCATGGTCCCATCCTGCGATAGTCCCGTCCTGCCATGGTCCCGTCCTGCCATGGTCCCGTCCTGCGATAGTCCCGTCCTGCCATGGTCCCGTCCTGCCATGGTGCCGTCCTGCGATGGTCCCGTCCTGCCATGGTCCCGTCCTGCCATGGTCCCATCCTGCGATAGTCCCGTCCTGCTGTAGTCCCGTCCTGCTATGGTCCCGTCCTGCCATGGTCCCGTCCTGCGATAGTCCCGTCCTGCTGTAGTCCCGTCCTGCTATAGACCCGACCTGCGATAGTCCCGTCCTGCTATAGACCCGACCTGCGATAGTCCCGTCCTGCCATGGTGCCGTCCTGCGATGGTCCCGTCCTGCGATAGTCCCGCCCTGCGATAGTCCCGTCCTGCGATAGTCCCGTCCTGCTATAGTCCCGTCCTGCGATAGTCCCGTCCTGCCATAGTCCCGTCCTGCCATAGTCCCGTCCTGTGATAGTCCTGTCCTGCTCAAGACCCGGTGATCCAAGATGGCGCCCTATTCAAATGAATGGCTTGTGCTCAGTAGCGCATGGGACTTCATGGACACCGGGAGATTAGCTGAACTTGCCTATATTTGGGCATCGTCTGGTCCTCCCGGTTCTGCACAGTGGATTAGCGCAACGCATTATGGGAGAAATCTCCCAAATCTCCCATAATGCGTCGCGCCAAACGTTCGTGTGTGGCTCTCATGCTCGCGCACAGAGGGGCTCGGCCGTGCTCTAACCAATCAGAGCTGCTGATCAGAGCAGCGGAAGAGCGGAGCCAGAGCGGGAAGGCAAGGAGCAGAGTCCCGTCCTGCCATAGTCCCGTCCTGCCATAGTCCCGTCCTGCCATAGTCCCGTCCTGCCATAGTCCCGTCATGCCATAGTCCCGTCATGCCATAGTCCCGTCATGCCATAGTCCCGTCCTGCCATAGTCCCGTCATGTCATAGTCCCATCCTGCCATAGTCCCGTCCTACCTCTTGCTTTAGCCTAATAAACAAGCTAGTATTGTATAAGTAACAAGCAAATTGGCTAAACATGAGAAAGTAGTTAGTAGATTTTATTACTTTAAGAACCCAACTTCAATCACGTTTAGTGTTTAGTCGACTGTTGTAGTAATATGTGTGTGTGAGACGTGTGTGTGATGTGTGTGCGCAGGAGTGAAGGGCAGCCTCACGGACTCGGAGCCCCTGAGCCTCTCTCACCTGGTGCTCTGTGGGGGGTCCCTGGTGTTAGCCGTGTACTTCCTGTTGTGGCAGACCTACGTGGTGTGGGCCGACCTCCTGCTGAGCTCGGTGCTGCTGCTGCTGCTGGCGCTCAGTGGACTGATGGGCTGCGGCACCGTGGCCCGACTTGCCAAGTACTCACACTACTGCAGATCATAGTACTTCAGACGATACTACTGCAGATCATAGTACTTCAGACGATACTACTGCAGATCACAGTACTTCAGACGATACTACTGCAGATCATAGTACTTCAGACCATAGTGCCTCAGATGACGGTACTTCAGAAGAGACAGGTGCGAGAACCACAGCACAAAGACAGACAATGGAGACCTGGAGTAAACCGGAGCACCTGGAGGAAACCGGAGCAGACACTTAGAAAGGCCTTGTTCCAACTGGGATTGGAACCAAGGACCCTCTTCTCTGACACCATGGGATACAACTGGAATAAGTCTCAAGGAACAATTTCCTGCTTTTCCTAAAGTATGTTATTATAGTAACACAGGTACAGATACAGGTACAGCACAGGTACAAGTACAGGGACAGTTCAGTGTTTATACTGTGGACAAATGTAACATGCTTCCTATTGTTGTACAATAAAAACACAAATGTGTTGTTACTTGTGTGTGTTTCAGTCACTACATGTGTTTCAGTCCCTACATGTGTGTGTTTCAGTCACTACATGTGTTTCAGTCCCTACATGTGTGTGTTTCAGTCACTACATGTGTGTGTTTCAGTCCCTACGTGTGTGTTTCAGTCACTAGATGTGTGTGTTTCAGTCCCTACATGTGTGTGTTTCAGTCCCTACATGTGTGTGTTTCAGTCCCTACGTGTGTGTTTCAGTCACTACATGTGTGTGCTTCAGTGTTGCTAAAATAAACTTTTTGTAGTTTTTTCCTTTACAAAATAAACTGTGACATTCCTGAGTGACAGACTGAGCTCAGGTTCAGGTTCAAACTTTTGTTTCTCAAAAACTCTTCACTCTTCTGTGATCAAAGGTACAGATCACATGAGCTCAGGTACAGATCACATGATCCACATCTTGATTTATTGGCAGATACTGATTCTCTTTGGTTTTGTGTTTAGTTGTTGATTAGTGAAACACAATTCTCCAGACGTCACGTGATCAGTGACGGGTGAGTGAGCTCAGTCCACACTTTAATACTGAGACTTTTAAGAGGTGTATAAACTAACTTGCCCTCACCCTCTTGCTCCCTCATCCCCTCACCCAATCACTCACCCTCTCAACCCCTCAGCCCCTCGCCCCCTCACCCCTCTCACCCTCTCCTCACACAGGTGTCTGGTGTGTGCACAGTCTATCTCCGGTCTATCACGGTGCATTGGCTGCACGTGTGTCCTCCAGTTACGCACACGGTGTAATTAGACAACACTTTCAGCTCCGGGGAAAAACAAAGACCCCGGATCCTTGGCCCCTGGAGCCCTGGCCCCTGGAGCTGAGGTGTCTGCAAGCCCCGCCTCCCGCCTCTAGAGTTACCTGCAGCAGACAGAGCAAAGACAAACGCCCAGCCTACGCCTCAGCCGCGCTCACGTCTCTCTCTCTCTCTCTCTCTCTGCTCCTGGACCTGACCTCACCCCGGTCCTCACTCCGGTCCTCCTCCCCTGCAGGTGTGGACCCAAACCCCGCTCTCCCTCGGACTGGGCTCTGGTCTTTCTCAGCTGCGGTGGTTCCTTCAGGATGGCGGCTGACGCAGAAAGAACATTTGGATAAAGACTTGAAGCAGAAGCGAGAACTTTGAACAGTGAGTAACATTTATCTGTGAAACCTTTGTCTCTGTGCTACTTTGTCTACGATTTAGAATGAAAGATTCTTTATTCGTCCCAGGGAAATTACAGTGTTGCATCACAAGTTACAGAACAGTTGGAATGAGGAGCAGACACGATAAGGGAATATACATAACACAAAGAAATAATAACATGAAATATATCTGTAGCTTCATAAAGAAATACAGTATAAACCATTATACTCTAGTGAAAAGACATAGTGTATCTTTGTTTGTATCTGTATTATGGTATTATTCATGTATTTAGACTTTATTAAAGATTTATAAGAAGGCGCAGGATCCATTGCAACTTCTCGGGAGTTTAAAAATGGCCTTTTACAAACACGTGTATAGTGCTTTGAAATAATACCTGCCAATGGTCGTTAATGTGTAATGTGAGACTTAAACAAGTATAATAATGAGGTTTGTCTGTCGCACGGACACCAGCTGGACGAATGGGGAGGGGAGGTCAGCAGCAGGTGCAATGGATAACACACATGACTTGGTTGTCGAGAAAAACAAAAAACAAAAGTAGAAAATAAATAAATGAATGATTGTGGTTAAAAAAACTGGTTCACGTGATGCTTTAAATTCCATCTGAAAAACTGCTGAATCACATTTTAGACACACAAACAGCAGCACATGGACGAGACGTGTAAATAAACAGAGGACCAATTTAAATGTAACACCAGAAATCATCTTTGCCACGTAACATTATTTTTGTGGATATTTTACGAGCACTAAGAACGTTGCTAAGTGATGTTTGCTAACACTTAAAAGATTCAATACTCATTCCTGCAGGATAAAAGCATGTTTATTGGCTTTCTGGTTTATATTGGAATGTCGCTTGGTGTTGTGGTTCGTTTGGCACCCCGTCCAGGCTGACCGGTTAGCTTGATGCTAGCGAATATTGTTCCCCGTTAGCCTCAGATCCAGCATTCGCTCTGGATTTGTTGAATGATCCTAAATAGTTGCGCTAACTTCTCCACGTGTTAGTGTAAATACAGGTGACTCAAACAATGTGATTTTCCCTTTGAAATGAACGAGTGAGTGTTTCAGATTGTTACTGTCACTTCTTGACCCGGTGATGTCACACTGAAACTGATCCGTGTTTGTGGAAAACGTTCTGATGTTTATGGTTTTAACTTTCAATTTCCAAGGAATATAGTGACTTACTTACGTTCTCCAAAAAGTGTTACTACATTTATAGTCTTAGGTTTTATACACTCTAGAATCTTCTTATTTTTGATAATTCTTCGATCATATTTTTACAATCTTTACTTAATTTGAGAGATGTACCTTTACATGTGTTATGTTTAGGCCTAGGATACATTCCCAGAAAATAAAATAGACTGCGCCCTTATCTTGATTTATATACACACACACACACAAATATACACACGTACGCACACACACACATGCAAACACAAATATACACACCCAAACACACCACATTTTACTTAAGTGCAGAGGGCAAAGTCTAATTTTCTATGACCAGAGAGCCATAATTCTCTCTTGTATTTCTGTTGCGTCAGAAGATAACTTAAGTTCACTGCTTTTAAAATCTTTACTACATCTCTAATGTAATCTTTATCTTTTCCAGCTTTTCCCCTTTGTTTAAATACTGCCATTCTGGCCAGAATAGAAATAAGACTCTCAGATCGACCAATGAGGGTTTAGAGCATGTGGGAGACACACACAGCACCAAAGCATTGTGGGAAATGGAGGAACTTGGGCCGTAGTGTATTGTTTTGATGAAGCAGGACTGAGGCCGTAGACCCAGGACTGAGGCCGTAGACCCAGGACTGACACAGCCTATTCCTGTGATACCTGAATACTTTCTGTATTACTGCTAAAACATGAATATGTGAAGAACAGCAGGTTTTTTACATTATCTAAATCTGAACCATGTGCAGTTATATTATCTCTGATCATTGCACATCGATACAAATCAGTAAAAACGTTGTTGTCTTTCGTTTGATCTGGACTTGAAAACAAACCGTGTATAGACGGGTGCGATCGCCGCTGCCTGCCTCTTCGTGTCTACTGTATTTGTCTTTGATCTGTTTGAATGTGTTTGTTGCTTGTGGTTTGGAGAACTGAGTCCGCAGGAGGCCTCGCTCTCAGCACTGATGAATAATACAGTCTCTGCGTGTGGTGTGGTCAGGGCACGCAAGGTGAAAGCAGCTCTCAATTAGTAACAGCCCTAATTAAACTCAAAACTAAAACTTACTGCTATCGCCTTAGCCTGGTCTTACCACACCATTGTACTCATTTCATTTTGCACTAAGGTCTGGATTTGCTCCATTGACTCCGTTTTGCAGAGCTTTAGCATTTAGCCTAGCTTTAGCATTTAGCCTAGCTTTAGCCATCTCCTTTGCCACTAACGGAGCCCGTGGGGAGTAGAGCCACAACATCTTTGCTTCAATGACATTTGTTAAACATTCCTCTTGCTCCTGCTTCAGTTTCTTGATATTTGGATTGAACCAGAACAGATTATTTTACTATTGCATTCTCCGACAAACTACAACCAGTAAATTCAGCACAAACTCTTGACGTCACCGATACCGACCTACAACACCCGCCTCCCCCGCTCTCTGATTGGTCGGAGGGGATTCAACCGAGGAAACTCCAGCCGCTAGGATCAGACCCAGACGTACATGTAGGAAATGATCATGGACCAGAGTTTACACATGGTAAGACCAGAGTTTACACATGGTAAGACCAGAGTTTACACATGGTAAGACCAGAGTTTACACATGGTAAGACCAGACGTACATGTAGGAAATGACCATGGACCAGAGTTTACACATGGTAAGACCCAGACGTACATGTAGGAGATGACCATGGACTAGAGTTTACACATGGTAAGACCAGAGTTTACACATGGTAAGACCAGAGTTTACACATGGTAAGACCAGACGTACATGTAGGAGATGATCATGGACCAGAGTTTACACATGGTAAGACCAGACGTACATGTAGGAAATGACCATGGACCAGAGTTTACACATGGTAAGACCCAGACGTACATGTAGGAGATGACCATGGACTAGAGTTTACACATGGTAAGACCAGGCTACAATCGCCGTAGCACAGGTACAGGTTCTGGGGATGTGTGGCTGTGAGTGGAGGTTTGATTGACAGCCTGTGTGTTCGACTGTCACGGATATGTCTGGGGCTGACGTAATAGCGTTGGTATTCAGGTCTGACGGAGGAGAAGAGACAGATATGTTTCCACTTTTCAATTCATCATCTGTTTGTTCTCTGGCTTTACTCTGTCAGTCCTCTCCACGCTCCAGAGGCTCACATCCTCTGGAAGATGTCAGTCCTGAGAACCACAACAACAGAAGAAGAGGCTGTTTCTTAATTAAAAGATGATGTTTCTTCTTGAGATATCGACACTTTATATTGGTCACAAAGACTGATGTCGCCACAACAGAAAAGTGTCAGAAATCCAGCTGTAAATCTGTGACTTTTTCGAAAATATTCTGCTTGTCTCAAATCAGATCACAGCTTAGAATTTCACTTTTCTTCAAGTTCATCTGATTTGAGAAAACAAAGAATGAAACATAAATTTTAGTTTGTATGTTTGTCTTTTATCTGTGTAACCAAATACACAGAGATACACTTTAATGATCCTGAAGGAAATTGTGCATTAGTTCCTTGCTCACTTTTGCTCAAACACAGCAGGAATTTATAGATCCCTGTGAGTGTAAAGCAGAGACACATCCACCCAAACAAAACAAATAAATACCATCCATTATACTCCCCTTCATCCATTTCTGTGTCGGGGGTGGCAGTCACTGATCCTCCTGCAGGTGCTGAGTCCACAGGAGCCTTGATCTTCCAGTGGGGGCTTCAAGCAAAGTGGGGGCAAGTGTCTTGTCCAAGGACACAACAACAGCAGTCATCAGTGGGAGTCGTGAAGTAGGTCTTGTGATGGGCTCAAACCCACGACCTTCAGGCCCAAAGGCCAATGCTCTACACACTGAGGCGCTGTCCCCATACTGTACTTCATTCTAAAAGTAGCAACAACAGTTTAGTTTAGTCCAGTGTTTGTTTGAAGGGTCTTTGTGCAGAGACATTAAAGCTGCACTAACTGACTTTGGGATTTTGAAGCAGCAGACTCGCTGGCCTCTCTCTTTCTGCTCCCCTCCCCGCACCCACGAAGCTATCGCCCCCCACACAAACACCCACTGTTGGGACGGAGTTAGCGTCTCCCAATATGGATAATACACGAATATGGATTTGTACGTGGATGGTGTGACCATAGAACGATAGAACCGGGAAGAGCGGAGGAACGGGGCTTTCTTTTGGATGGCTGTCTCGCTGTGTAAGCAGTAACCGGTGACGAAGACATGAAGCTTCAGGTTAGCTCCTCTGCTTGTTGTGCTAACTCAGCCGTCTATGCTAACGGAGACCTGTAGATTTCTCACGAAAGTGGGGGCCAGTGGTCCACTGTGATTGGTCACAATCCGCGACCCGAAACACATTCTCTTCCTTGTTTCATCAAAACTCGATCTAAAATATAATGTCACGCCAGCACAAATCTGCGCTACTTTTTCGTCAAAAGGACGTATATCCCAATGCACTACATGGACATGGATAGCATTTTCGTAATGAATACAAAAATAAAGTCAGTTAGTGCAGCTTTAAGCTCGTAGACAGATGTTCTGCCCCAGATTTGAGCTGACCAGATGTTTCCATCTGCAGTTCTTAATAACAGTGATGGGTGTTGAAATAAACGTTACTAACGCTGTTACTTTTTTCAGTAACGAGTAATCTAACTAATTACTTTGACTGTAACGATAACGTTGTTATAATTGCCAACACCCCGTTACTGCGCGTTAGTCAAGTCGCACAATAAACTTTTTTTTATTTCATGATAGGACTCGTGTGCGTGTTGTCATGAGCGAAGGGAGGATGAGAAAACCTCTCAGCAATGATTGGCTGATGTAAAACATATTTCCTTTACAATCAACATGTCTACAGTTACAATCTACATGTCTGGTGGTGGGAGGGGCCGATGGCACAGACTGGTTGCCTCACTTCTGTCAGTGTGCCCCAGGGCAGCTGTGGCTACAGTAGAAGTTTATCACCTCAGTGTATGGAGTGAATGAGTAATGACATGTGTGTCTTTGAGTGTCCAAAAAAAATCTCTATATAAAACCGATGCATTATTATTATTATTGGTCTCTCTCTGGTCTCTCTTTGGTCTGTCTCACTCTCTCTCTCTGGTCTCTCCTTCTCTGGTCTCTCCTTCTCTGGTCTCTCTCCTTCTCTGGTCTCTCCTTCTCTGGTCTCTCTCTGGTCTCTCTCCTTCTCTGGTCTCTCTCTCTGGTCTCTCTCCTTCTCTCTGGTCTCTCTGGTCTCTATCTTTCTCTCTACGGTCTCTCTCCTTCTCTCTGGTCTCTCTCTGGTCTCTCTCCTTCTCTGGTCTCTCTCTCTGGTCTCTCTCCTTCTCTCTGGTCTCTCTGGTCTCTATCTTTCTCTCTCTGGTCTCTCTACGGTCTCTCTCCTTCTCTCTGGTCTCTCTCTCTCTCATATTTATGGTATTTTGTAATCCCTGTGAGAGTCGATGTGAGCCAAGCACAGACGTGACATCGTTCCCAGTCCTTTGCTGAGCTCATGTTTTTTATGTTTTGTCTTGTTTTCAGGTGGAGGTCCTGAACCATGAGTCTGGGGGGAAGTCCGACCAAGACGTCCAAGTACGTGCCTCTCTTTTCCTTTTTCATATCAGCTGCTTTGCTCCGTTAGTGACCGCTGCTGCGCTCTCTGCTTCGATGGACGGGTCAGGAACCTCCAGCACACAGAGCCAGTGTTCGCCAGTATTTACTCTCCCCCCCTCCACTCCCCCTCACTCCCCCTCTCTCACCCTCTCTCTGCTTCACCTGTATTCTCTCATTCATACCCTGCTCCAGTCTGGACTCCTGTAGTGTCCAGGTCTGAGGGTGCAGAGACAGGAGACAGAATGAAGCGTAATCCCGGTCCCTCTGTGTGTTATTGCAGCGGCGTGGCCCGTTCTGACAGCAAGCTCAGCGCCAAGGCCCTGTACGGTGAGTGCCACACGCTACACGCTACACGCTACACGCCACATGCCATGCCACTGGTTTCTAACTGCCTTCAGCTGTGAGTCATGTGTGAAGCATTTGTACTGGCGTAGTCTGGATTATAATCCCGTTTGGTGCAGGGTTCGCTCCTCCTTTCCTGTCTGGGTGAGTGTGTCCCAGGTATTGCATTCAACCTCAAACATTCAAAAGACAAAGTGAGAATAGAAGCAGAAGCAATTTGACTGACAAGAAAAACAACTTATTTCTGTGTATTTTATTTTACAAGCATTTCTAAGTGCCAGTTTTTAGCAACAAAAGCTACAAGGCATTCATGGACTTTATCAGTATTTATGGATATTGGTCTCTGCTCCTTATGGTTGTTTTTTTTTGGGGGATTTTCTGATCTGTTGTTGGTGAATCGACAACTTTGTGAAGTCCTCAGAGAAAACTACTGTTGTGATTTAGTGCGATACAAGAATACATTGAATGGAATTGAAAGGTAGTTTTCTTCTGTAGTCCCTGTAGAGATGCCATTCCAAGACACACTTTATATATTCGTAAATTAAAAGAAATCTCAAAGTTTGTACTTTGAGTTTATTAAAGGAGCCGTGTTTTAAAATGTGTCCAAAAGTGGTACTGCAGCCTCTCCCACTCTCCCTGACTCAGGTTGCCAGATATGCAGACGAATCCAGCTGGGACCATAACAGCTGAATAGACAAGAGTTTAGTCAACAACAAATCTATAACCAACACCTTTTTCACAGTTTTATTCCTTGTTTTGTCGTTAAGGATTTGAGAATCATGACGAGACCTTTTTGAGTTCTGCGCCACATGGTACTTTACCAGTGAGATTAGCTCCATGCAGTGAGTTCTGGCGCCCAGATCACAGACTTTCTGATTAGTGAAACGGTGGAGGGCGGGACATCAAAATGAAAACAATAACAAGATTTAGGGGCTGGAAAAGAAATTTATAAATTCAAATATCTCTGAACTTCTGTTATCAGTTAAAGAAGTATTGGTTATTGCTCCGTGTGTTTGATCCTCTTTAGTTCTGTGTGACTCTGCAACATGTGTTTATTGAGTTGGATTTATGTGTCTGCCTTGAAACTGCCTTGAAAAAGAGGTCTTTAATCTCAGTGGGACTTTCCCGGTTGAATAAAGGTTAAATAAACAGTAGCATGTCGCAGTGAAATGACTTTAACTCTTTGTGGTGTGTTGTCATAACAACACATCATTAAGCTGTGTTTAAGGCTTTAGCCAATCACAGAAATGTGAGAGCGGTGTCTGCAGGGACGACAGGTCGCACTGATAAGAACAGCCAAGGTCCTGCTTTCAAACCATCGCTCACAAAGAACACGTATCTCTAACATATATCTGACATAACTCTATCCACTGGTCTCAGTGGCTGGTTCCACGCCTGTGTTCAGGGAGTGTCTGTTTTTACATGAGCCACATTTGGAGAGGCCTGAAATAAAGAAGGCTTTGAAAAGTACAGGAAAAGTTTGGTCTCTGCTTCAGACGCAGACACCCTCCCACAGCACCGAGTCAATAACACGGAGACTGTGACTGTATAATGACTGCTCAGCGGCTGTTCAGAGACTGTTCAGAGACTGTTTAAAGACTGTTTAAAGCCTGTTTAAAGACTGTTTAAAGGCTGTTTAAAGACTGTTTAAAGGCTGTTTAAAGACTGTTTAGGGAGTGTTTAGAGACTGTTTAGAGACTGTTTACAGACTGTTCAGAGACTGTTTACAGACTGTTCAGAGACTGTTTAAAGACTGTTTAAAGACTTTTTAGAGACTGTTTAAAGCCTGTTTAAAGCCTGTTTAAAGCCTGTTTAAAGACTGTTTAAAGGCTGTTTAAAGACTGTTTAGGGAGTGTTTAGAGACTGTTTACAGACTGTTTACAGACTGTTTACAGACTGTTTACAGACTGTTTACAGACTGTTTACAGACTGTTCAGAGACTGTTTAGAGACTGTTTACAGACTGTTTAAAGCCTGTTTAAAGACTGTTTAAAGCCTGTTTAAAGCCTGTTTAAAGCCTGTTTAAAGACTGTTTAGGGAGTGTTTAGAGACTGTTTAGAGACTGTTTACAGACTGTTTACAGACTGTTTACAGACTGTTTACAGACTGTTTACAGACTGTTTAGAGACTGTTTACAGACTGTTTACAGACTGTTCAGAGACTGTTCAGAGACTGTTCAGAGACTGTTCAGAGACTGTTCAGAGACTGTTCAGAGACTGTTCAGAGACTGTTCAGAGACTGTTCAGAGACTGTTCAGAGACTGTTTAGAGACTGTTTAGAGACTGTTTAGAGACTGTTTAGAGACTGTTTAGAGACTGTTTAGAGACTGTTTAGAGACTGTTCAGAGACTGTTCAGAGACTGTTCAGAGACTGTTCAGAGACTGTTCAGAGACTGTTCAGAGACTGTTCAGAGACTGTTTAGAGACTGTTTAGAGACTGTTTAGAGACTGTTTACAGACTGTTTACAGACTGTTTACAGACTGTTTACAGACTGTTTACAGACTGTTTACAGACTGTTTACAGACTGTTTACAGACTGTTTACAGACTGTTTACAGACTGTTTACAGACTGTTTAGAGACTGTTTACAGACTGTTCAGAGACTGTTCAGAGACTGTTCAGAGACTGTTCAGAGACTGTTCAGAGACTGTTCAGAGACTGTTCAGAGACTGTTCAGAGACTGTTCAGAGACTGTTCAGAGACTGTTTAGAGACTGTTTAGAGACTGTTTAGAGACTGTTTAGAGACTGTTTAGAGACTGTTTAGAGACTGTTTAGAGACTGTTTAGAGACTGTTTAGAGACTGTTCAGAGACTGTTCAGAGACTGTTCAGAGACTGTTCAGAGACTGTTCAGAGACTGTTCAGAGACTGTTCAGAGACTGTTCAGAGACTGTTTAGAGACTGTTTAGAGACTGTTTAGAGACTGTTTAGAGACTGTTTAGAGACTGTTTACAGACTGTTTACAGACTGTTTACAGACTGTTTACAGACTGTTTACAGACTGTTTACAGACTGTTTACAGACTGTTTACAGACTGTTTACAGACTGTTTAGAGACTGTTTAGAGACTGTTTAGAGACTGTTTAGAGACTGTTTAGAGACTGTTCAGAGACTGTTCAGAGACTGTTCAGAGACTGTTCAGAGACTGTTCAGAGACTGTTCAGAGACTGTTCAGAGACTGTTCAGAGACTGTTCAGAGACTGTTCAGAGACTGTTCAGAGACTGTTTAGAGACTGTTTAGAGACTGTTTAGAGACTGTTTAGAGACTGTTTAGAGACTGTTTAGAGACTGTTTAGAGACTGTTTAGAGACTGTTTCAGAGACTGTTCAGAGACTGTTCAGAGACTGTTCAGAGACTGTTCAGAGACTGTTCAGAGACTGTTTAGAGACTGTTTAGAGACTGTTTAAGACTGTAGAGACTGTTCAGAGACTGTTCAGAGACTGTTCAGAGACTGTTCAGAGACTGACTGTTCAGAGACTGTTCAGAGACTGTTCAGAGACTGTTCAGAGACTGTTCAGAGACTGTTTAGAGACTGTTCAGAGACTGTTCAGAGACTGTTTAGAGACTGTTTAGAGACTGTTTAGAGACTGTTTAGAGACTGTTTAGAGACTGTTCAGAGACTGTTCAGAGACTGTTCAGAGACTGTTCAGAGACTGTTTAGAGACTGTTTAGAGACTGTTTAGAGACTGTTCAGAGACTGTTAAGAGACTGTTCAGAGACTGTTAAGAGACTGTTCAGAGACTGTTCAGAGACTGTTTAGAGACTGTTTACAGACTGTTCAGAGACTGTTCAGAGACTGTTCAGAGACTGTTCAGAGACTGTTCAGAGACTGTTCAGAGACTGTTTAGAGACTGTTTAGAGACTGTTTAGAGACTGTTTAGAGACTGTTTAGAGACTGTTCAGAGACTGTTCAGAGACTGTTTACAGACTGTTTACAGACTGTTTAGAGACTGTTTAGAGACTGTTTAGAGACTGTTTAGAGACTGTTTAGAGACTGTTTAGAGACTGTTTAGAGACTGTTTAGAGACTGTTTAGAGACTGTTCAGAGACTGTTCAGAGACTGTTCAGAGACTGTTCAGAGACTGTTCAGAGACTGTTCAGAGACTGTTCAGAGACTGTTCAGAGACTGTTCAGAGACTGTTTACAGACTGTCTACAGACTGTTAACAGACTGTTTACAGACTGTTTACAGACTGTTTACAGACTGTTTACAGACTGTTTACAGACTGTTTACAGACTGTTTAGAGACTGTTTAGAGACTGTTTAGAGACTGTTTACAGACTGTTTACAGACTGTTTACAGACTGTTTACAGACTGTTCAGAGACTGTTCAGAGACTGTTCAGAGACTGTTCAGAGACTGTTCAGAGACTGTTCAGAGACTGTTCAGAGACTGTTCAGAGACTGTTCAGAGACTGTTTAGAGACTGTTTAGAGACTGTTTAGAGACTGTTTAGAGACTGTTTAGAGACTGTTTAGAGACTGTTTAGAGACTGTTCAGAGACTGTTCAGAGACTGTTCAGAGACTGTTTAGAGACTGTTTAGAGACTGTTTAGAGACTGTTTAGAGACTGTTTAGAGACTGTTTAGAGACTGTTCAGAGACTGTTCAGAGACTGTTTAGAGACTGTTTAGAGACTGTTTAGAGACTGTTTAGAGACTGTTCAGAGACTGTTTAGAGACTGTTTAGAGACTGTTTAGAGACTGTTTACAGACTGTTTAGAGACTGTTTAGAGACTGTTTAGAGACTGTTTAGAGACTGTTTAGAGACTGTTTAGAGACTGTTTAGAGACTGTTCAGAGACTGTTCAGAGACTGTTTAGAGACTGTTTAGAGACTGTTTAGAGACTGTTTAGAGACTGTTTAGAGACTGTTCAGAGACTGTTTAGAGACTGTTTAGAGACTGTTTAGAGACTGTTTAGAGACTGTTTAGAGACTGTTCAGAGACTGTTTAGAGACTGTTTAGAGACTGTTTAGAGACTGTTTAGAGACTGTTCA